TGCACAATAGTAAACGTTTTCCTTTGTAGCATATTTTAAATTTGACGAAGGTCAACCATCGCATTCGCTCCGAATGCTTGCCTCTTGGTAAATTTACTGCACAGAACGCTACCCTCTTACGGACACCTTCACATGGGACTGCCAATTTTGCTTGTGTGAATGTCAATACCTACGTTTCCACAAGGTTTCCTGTGTGGATTCAGTAGCCATCCGTTTAATCTGCATACATAGGTGAAATCACTGCACTTTCTGTGCATGATCAATCAGCGCGTCTAAACCCGCCTATCAGGCCTCTCACCATATGACTGGGCTTATGTGCCTCCTTGAAGAATGCATGTCCGGTTTAGTGCAAGACACCCCCTATGATGTGTCCGTCCGTAAAGCGTCTTTCAAGAGCAACCACGTGGAAGGCGGTCTAGTTGTGTAGGCCGTAGTTGTCCAGCGTGCGTAGAGTAGCCACTGATGTTCGTGTGTTTGAGGAGGGTGGTTGAGTGTAGACAGGCTGGAAAATGGCAGCGTGCTCACATTTCAGGCTGGCAGTCCACTATGCAGCGACCTAATTAAAAATCAAATATTCTGCCAATTCCAGCCGTCGTGCCGGATACGACGACGACGACGACAACGACGACCAAACGGGCACCAATAACGACAAAGACGTCGACCACCAGACGAGCAACAACAACTACAAAGAAACCACAGCCCCGAGGTAAGTATACATTATACTTTTAAATCAACGTCCGAACACAATTTGTGACTGTCAAATCAAACCATTGTAAACTGCTTCAATGGGTTAATGCACTAATCCTGTTGGACTTTAAAGCAAAAGCTGGTAATGCATGACTGCGCAAGTTATTCGCCCATTCCATTAGCAGATTTATGACTGCTTCCCCCGTATGATTAGGAATGGTTTACTAGATAAATGTCAAGTGACGTGCAGTTTTGGGCGAATGGGAGTCCTTCCTGGAGTACAATGTTCACGAACACTTGCAGAGCTAAGACATACGGTCACGAGGTATTACGCTTCAACCCATGGAACGAGAGGGCCTACATGCTGACGTCAGCAAAGACCGTCTGTCGCCTGCAGATAAATCTCATCTGGCAGCTAGCATCTGCAGGCCTACTCATGCAGCAGGATATAGCTGGCGAATTGAGATGAAAGTGCTCACACCTGGACAGCCTGTGATGTCACACTGGATCGTACTCATTCATCCTTCCCTTCCAAAGCCCTTGTATACTCGTCTCAACGGTCCTGTGCGACCCACAGTTGCGTGATCGACGTCTGTGCGTGCACATCACGCGTTGTGGGCACCTTCTTGTTTGGCGACTCTCATTCAATATCTCAAGCCGTGGAAGTTGTGCAGTGGTGGTTCGATTGTCACGTGGATGCGTGGAAACTTCTCCTTCACTCGCGCCCGCGTAATGTGAGAGATAGGGGTTTGGAGTTCGCGCATCGTACAGTATGCACGCGGCGATGTTTGGATATGTTGCCTGGGCCAATTGGATCCAACGCCTAGCTGTCTGCCGCCTTCTTAAGCATTTGCGTCAATCGATGAACGAAGAAACAGGTTCAGCGTAGACACGCAAAGAAGTCGACCCACGTACTATCGAATGGGGTATCACCCTGCCAGAATGTTAATGGTAGCCCACATTTTGACAGTTTGTAACACATGATAGTGCTTCCTTGTACTTGCTTTCCGGTGAGACGACAAGAGAGGAATTCAGCCGTAATGCAGCATTTTATTCCTGTGCGCAACGCAATGGACGTGCTAACCCTGAAGCGCCTTTCTTGTTATTTTTACTACTATGAGGGTGATTGAGGCGCCATTAGTTGCCCTGTTTTCAGGCTAACGGACTTCATCGATTCGCCTGATTATTTCTTTAGTCAAGCCTTCAAACGGGGCCTATATGCATGCAGATTTGCGATGTTAATTAGTGGGAAGAATTACAGTTCCTCCAGATAATAAGAAATTGGAGGGGAGTGCGAAAAAATAAGCTTCGTTGCTGTCCGCAAAATGCTCTAAAATCCAGCTGGTATTTTTCCACTTAAGCAGCCGTTGCTTAATAGACTTCCTGAGTACTTCAAATATTTGCATCGTGCATGCCGTGGCAACATATCGACTATAAAATACACTAAAGCAGAATACACTTTATCTCTGTCTGCCTATTATCAGAACGTTGTATTATGGTGTTCTTGACCGTTTAAACACATGAACAATCCCTTCTATATTTTCGCTTCCGCAGGTGACATCGGAGGCGGAACGACTTCAAAGGGTAAGTTTACATTCGTAGTTTGCAGGCCATGAGCCAAATGCTCCCGCTAGGTTGATGACTAATGCCCCAAACAGGGTCGCTGGACAAAAGCTCAGACAGGGGTTCCTTCGACTTTTTTCCCTCCCTGTCACAACTGAGTTATTTTAGACTCCTCAGTCAATTTCCCACGCTCGAATACAAATGCATTGTTAAGGACACAATTCCACCGGTAGTGGCGGCCACTCGCAGTTAAGTCGCAGAGTCACATTAGACATTAAAATGTGCAATTTATGTAATTTGCATCAGTCTGAAGAATAGACGATGAAGAAAAAACGATCAGGCTCAAATCCGTTATCTTCTGGCTTGCACCATTGGGCAATATCCTCAACGCCCTCATTTGGAAGTCAACTATTTGATTCATTTTGGATGCAGCTATATTTGGCAAATGAATTCGCACAAATTAGACAATTCCCGTCAATGTGAAGACGAAAAGGAGCTTTGGTATTTTAACTTGAGATTTTAAAAACTGGTTATAGATGAGCTCATCATTCGGGTTTTCTACGTTTGTTAGCATAATTTGGCGCTACTGCTGGCACAGACGGAACTTCATAATACCTCATTGAAGTTCGTTTGTCAGCAGGTGCAAACCGTCAGCTATTTTAATTTGACATTTGCGTTATTTTCGGTCCTTTTAGGTCCGAAGATGTTCATAGTAGGTAAGCAGCACACATTGTGTGGGCGAAGTAAGGTCATTCGTTCACTTCAGTGGAACTTCCTTGAAAATGTGTGTGCCCGACTAAGTAATCGCAGTCAAGGCAATTGATGAAACTTGTTCTTGTAAGGTTTTCCGTGCATCATATATAAGTGGAATTGAAGACTATGCTTAAAATTTGCAATCAGATGCATCAACATCCCCTTCCATCAGGTTCTCCAAAGAAGGCATTCTTTCTGTAATTTAAGACTGTATGCACCGGACCACCTTGAGTGTAGCGTCCAAATAATACTTTTGCTCAATGTATCTGAATCGATGCTTTCCTGCAAAACAGAATCTGAGCAATGTTAGCAACGATTCTGAAAACTGTCTTTCGTTTTGTTTGATCTTGCACTTTTAACCAAGCAACTATCTCACTGTTTCAGCATTGTCGTCGGTCGCTGTATTCTGCCTCGTTGGAATGCTATGGGCGTAAATGATATGCGTGCTGGAAAATAAACAATCTTGGTGAACAACTGTGCCTTCTTTTGTCTCGAAGTTTGTGTCACATGAGACGGGGCAGATGCAAAACAAAAAATAAAACTAACATAGACTAGGGAAGTCAAGATTAATTTGTCTGGGCCACTACTAACTGACACTTTTACAAGACCGAGTGTCCTAGTTTTTATTCGCCTTTAGCGCGGCCTCGTGAGATAGACTAGAGAAGTTGGATGCAAGGTTACCGGCATTTCCATTAAGCAGCCTAACCAAATATGTTATATATTAACGTCATAATTTGTGGTTGTTTGTAAAGTTACTGTTAAACCTATTCCCATACACAACCTAAGGACACATAGTGACTGCTTCTGTATATGCGCACTGTATATCACTTAAAACTAGCTGGACAGATTTGCACAGTCATTGTTGATAGGGCTAAGCCATTATTAATTTTTGGGCAACATCGAGTGTCCCTAGTTCTTCTTCGCTTTTAGTTTGGTTCCAGGGAACAGAGCGTCACAATTGGAATTTCGGTTACATGAGCGTCAATAGAATAAACAATCAGTAGGTGCTTTCATTGACGTCAAAGCTGTGGTTCATATGCAAAGCTTCTGTATAGTGTATTCCCATGCACACTTAGAGGACTGTTATCGACAGAGGCATCAGTGTAGAGTCACGGCGTAATGTGGAAGGATGACATGACCACGTACTGAGCATCAGACCAGACCGGCAGGGAGATGCACGCATTAAATTTGATGGCCAGTTAGCGAGTACTGTGGCATTGAGCACACCTGGCATCTTTGTTCACGCATGCGGCCCAACAAATGGCGCATGAAACGGCTAATCGACAACACTCACAGTGTGGGTCGAAATGTTGTGAAACGTCCTCCACGACTGGCAGACCATAGGCCGAGGTATTCCAGAGCGCTCTGGCACCAAATAAAGTGATGCGTCATTTGACGAGTTGGAAGACGTGTGTTTGCAGTCTGTGAGGGTAAGAACGGTTGTCCACAGAACACGCCTTCCTTCTCTTCCATCTTCCCACTCGTCGACAACAGGACACGTGTTCAGTTCAGTTTTATTGAGGGAAGCAAAGACGGCGCCTTTAAAAACCCCATTGGTTACAAGTCGTTGGAAAAAACACTGATACGTAAAAAATGGAAAAGGAGAATTTGCACATACTTGTAGACAGTTGCCAGCCAGTAGAAAAAGGTTAATCGTTAACGCCTACTCACTAATAGCAAGTGGTATAGATGTTTATTATTTGGTGACGGGTTATGTGAGTAGATGAGAGGCTGGTACTTGCGAAGCTTGATAAGTGTCGAGTTTACACTTAAAGGAATTCACACAAGAGAAGTTTAGAACATCGGTACGCAGGGCATTCCACGCTGCAACCAGTCTGTTACTGAAAAATAATTTTCGCCCATTGATCCTTGCTTTCTCTGAGCGCATTTTGAGGAAATGACCGCGCAAACTGGGCGTGTTAGCCGGAGTGAAGTAATCAGTGGGGTCTAAACAACAGTCTAGAGCGTCGATAATGCGAAATGTTAGTATAAGTTCATCAGGTAGTTGCCTGTGAGAAAGGGGAAAGAGGTTGAGAGGTGACATTGTGGTTTCATAGGAAAGTGCTCCCAGACCTTGTGTCATTCTGGTCGTCCGCCTCCGTACCTTCTTCAAGACGGTATGGTTTGGTGTGTGGTGGTTGCTTCAACTTTACTCGATGAAATTCGTCTAGAATTGCGAGGACGGTATTTCGTCTTGGTTCTGTTAAATAGGTTCATTTTAACCTCTCGATCAGTTTACGCTTTCATGGCGAGTCATCGTCAGGTTGAGAGGTAAGTTGGTGTTTTCCTACGTGGTAACCCATATAGCGAACTGCGTCCTCTTGTCATGTTCGTGGCATGTCCGAAATCACGAGATTTACGTGCGAAAACCGAGAAAATGCAACGGAGTAGGGAGTCTTCCATTTTTTTGAACCTAACTGTGCAAAAATTCTTTCAAACGTTAAAGTAAGATCTAATCCGTGTGAAACGATTGTCATCTGACCCCATCCGCAAATGTTGTTTGTGTGGACTGTGTGTTTAATAGTGCCCCCTAAACAAGCCGCGTGGTAGATGCGCTGGACTAACACGGGAACTATATTGGATTCTGGGAGGCGATATCAAATTGCACACCATAGCAAATGTCGGTAAGTGAAACAGATCCCATCAGCGTACCCTAGAGAGTACCAGCCCCTCAGCTAGCTGATGCTGAAATGGGGAGAAATGGCGGACAGAGTTGAGGAGGGGTCCTCTGCGCATACCACTCAAACGACCTGGCACACATTTGGCAGTTCGGTCGTCGATTCCGACGATGTCCACCATGTGCTACACAGTTAGGTGCAGCAGGCACGGTGACTTGCGCGTGAATTAGTTTATAATTAATGTGGACTTTCGCAGCATCTACCGCACTCCCTCGTCCCCGCCCCACCCCATGGACCCGGCGTCAAGACAGAGTTTGGAAGACCGGAGACGTGGGATGGCGCAGGTGGCTGGCACTGCCTGACCCGCACCTAGGCTTGTCACTACACCCCCTGGTCCACAATATACACTTGACCATGATTTTACACCACCAACAACACTGACAACACCGCAACAGGTGTCAGAATGACGAGACTGATGACTGGGCAGCCATACCCACCACCTGTGTACCTAGCGGGAGTGCAAGCGCATCTACCGGCGCGGAAGCAGATGTCAGGAAACTTCCGCCGCATACCAGGCTGCGAGGGCCATGGTTTGCTGATACTTGAATAACACACGCTTTCAAACCTTTTGACCTAGAAGGGCAACACGTGGCCTTGCATTTAGACTGGGCCGTCGCCCTTCGAGGTTGAGTAACCGAACAGACGTTGACTGAGGGGCAATACCCATAAAGGGCACAGACAAACACAAACACCCTTCTCACTTGCCGAGAGTGTCACAGATCGCTTGAGAAGGAGCCCTGACAGCCTGGCTCTCAGCCCACTATTTCGCCGCTCCACACAACACACACACACAACTGGGCAGACTTCGTGGACTGAGTTGGGGCGTCAGTCGGCTGCCTTCCGACGGCGGCGGCGGCGGCGGCGGCGGCGGCGGCGGCGGTGGTTAAGAATTGCATATCTTGCGTTTGGCTTTGGCGGTGGTGAAGCGGTTGACTTCGAAGATTGCTGCGCCTGTCTTCGCGTAGGTTGACTCCGGGCAAGGTCTTACCAATTTGCCCGGTTGAGCTGCAGGTGCTTCAAATGGGTTTTCAGAGTATCCTTGTAGCGCTGGGCTTGACCTCCTTATCGGCGTGAACCCGTCGCGACATCTCCATAGAAGAGTCATTTGGGTAGCCTCTCATCCTCAATTCGTACGAGGTGGCAGCTCCAGAGTAGTTGTAGTTGCCTTAACATAGCGTAGATGCTGAGGATTCCCGTCCGTTCCAGTCGGTTAGTACTCGATGAAGACGACTGAGGTTGAAATGGTCGCGTCTACATGCCTGCTTCATGTACACCGTCCAGAACTATGCTCCATACGGCAATGCCAATAGGATGACAGCCTTATACGTCTTCATTTTCGTGCTAAGTTGAAGACCGTGACGATTTCATGCTGTGTTTTGAAGACGACCGAAGGCTTACCTGGTCTTGAAAATCTGGCAGGGTGGCGATTGGTGCAGAACCGCCGTCTTCTCCGTGTTTGGTGATCAGGCCAAAGTTCTCACAGGCGTCGGCGAAGAGACCCATGCTCTTTTTTATGTTCCGTTCGGAGGTGGCGTTGAGAGCACAGTCGTCAGCGAAGAGAAGTTCATGGACGGAAGTTGCTGACAAACTTGACTTTAAGTTCATTCACCGCTGATTGAGCAGATGGTTGTCCGTCCTGTAGGCGACGCGGATCCCGGGGCGGTCATCAGAGTGGGTGTCCATCAGCATGGCAGAGAGCATGAGACTGAAGAGGGTAGGTGGAGGACCCAGCCCTATTTCACTCTGTCGGTCACTGTGAATGCTTCTGAGACAAATCCATTGTCCGTGACGCGCGCTGTCATGCCGTCGTTGAGCTGACGCATTAGCTGAGTGAATCGTTCGGTACAGCCGAATTTCTGCATGTTATTCTACAGTCTTCCGCGGGTCCCCGGGTCAAAAGCCTTCATTAGATCCACGAAGAGATGGATCCGCATCTCCTGACTACTCCTGTAGTTTGTGAGCGGCGAAAATTATGTGGATGGTCCCACGATGACGGCGAAATCCGCACTGCGGTGATTTTTCGCAGGTTTCCATGAGTACCCATGTAACCGAATAGGCTCGTGCGATCCCTAAATATGCAGAGGCAATGCGGGCAATTGAGGCGATGGCGTCTGGTGTATGTCGGTGCTCCAGGCACTCGTTCGCCGGTCTCTGTCCAGTAGATTCTCAATTGACCGACCGGCCTGATGCGTTAGGTGAACATGCGGTGGCAATTTGGGCAGGATAGGTTGCGGGGGGTTGTTAGGTCGGCTGTTGTTGTGATGCTGCTAGTGACGGGTGCCCTGGTCGATGGAAGATTGGTTGGTCTGGGTATGGGAGTAATGGTTGATGCGAAATGTGTGTTGTGTTAGTCGATGTCGCGGTGACTTCAGCTGCCGTGAAAAGGTATGTAACCGAATAGACCCATGCGGTGCATGAATGTGCATGGACAGTGGGGGCGGATGTGGCGAGTCTGTGTGGAGGCTCCTGACACTGGTATGTCGGTCGCAGTACGATGAATTCTCAAGTTACCGACCAGACCGACGCGTGAGGTGAATTTGCAATCGCAATGAGGACAGTTTGGGATGCAGTCCACATCGCTGGAGATGGGAGTGGGAATGGTAAAAGTTGTGGTTGACGGGTTGCTGGAAGAGTTTTGATCGGTAGCGGGAGTAGAAGCTGTGGTGGTCGCCATCATCGTCACGAAGGTTGTAGGAGGGATGATAAAGTTGTTGGTGACGGACGGCGACGGAGATGCTGATCATCGGTGATGAGGGTGAGCGTCGTCGTGGACACTGTGGAGGTTGGAGCGGGAGTGATCGGGAGGCAGCAGTTGGGGGTTGTTGGGATGTTGGTGCATTGAGTCCGGAGATGTCTGACGAGGCCAACCCGCATGCGGGATGCTCCTTAGCAACGCGGACTTGTTGGGGGTTGGCATTGCCAGTCAGGAGTGCACGAGACTTGCAAAGTTCCCTTTTGAATTTGGCGGCGCCGACCCGGTTGTCTTCATAGATGGCTTCCCAAGTCCTCGTCGCACTTCTTTGGGCCGACCGGTTGTCTGCGAGGTCTTTCCAGGTCTTTGGGTTGATCTGTAGACACTGGAAGGAATCCATAAAGGTGTCCTTGTAACGAAAAGTTTGATTTCCTTATCGGCGAGCACCCGTGGCGACATCCCTATGGAAGAGTTGTTTCGGTAGGCGCTCGTCGTCCATCCCAACGTAGTGACAGTTCATCCTAGTTAGAGTTGCCTCGGCATGGTGTTGGTGTTGGTAATTACAATGCTTCCAAATCTTCCGTCTTCGCGACCCTTTCCTACCACCTCAGTTTTAGTATCTGCCAGAGACAACTGACGCAGAAGTAGTTGGGCTTGCACGCTTGTTTCTTATAGACTGTCCAGGATTTCGCATCGTGCAGCAGAGTCGTCAAGATGATAGTTTTATACATCTCCAGTTTGGTGTTAAAGCGGAGGCCGTGGCGATCCCATACGGTGTTTTGTAACCGGCCGAGTGCTTGGCTGGTTTTGAAGACCAGGTGGGCCATTTCGTTGCCGATTTTGATGCAGTATGAGTGTGTTACCCTGGTAGGCAAAATTTTTCACGGCCTCCAATTTAGTGCTATTGACATGAACGCGAGGAGTACTGCACGCAGTGTTTGGTGGTTTTCGGGAAGAAGTCCCTGTTCGGGATATCCGTTGGGACGATTTAGGTGGATGCAAACCAAGGCCTTATCGGCGATGTTTAGCGTCGAGATAATTCTGTAGTCGTCACAAAATCGTCGGTTCTCCTTCTGCTTGTAGAAATGGACAGTTGTCACATCCTTAAGATCCTGAGGAACTCGTCCTCAGCGCCGCCTTTTCTGGGATAGCGTTGAAATGTGTTGCGTCGGGCCGGGGGCCGCTTGTAAACTTATAATAGGATAGTGTCCGATCCCGGTGCTTTTCCACTGAAGAGTTGGGGCATGGCTCGTACTGTTTCTGGGAGAGAAGGCTGGAGGACCAGGTCGTCGTTCGTTCCCACCTAACGCAATCGATCGACAGTGATGTCGGAGATTTAATAGGGAGAATGGGAGAACTTCGGAAGGGCTCGGCTCAGCGCTCCAGAATTTGCTATTTCTCTATCAGAAGCGTTATGTCATCGAGAATGATAAGCGGCGCGGCTCCATGGGATTTAGGGCCGTGGACAACCTTGATTAATGCGAAGAAGTTCATTGTCTCACTGCGGCCAGCATACTCCTGCAGTTTCTCGGTTTTGACAGCCATCCAGACGTCCTGCATTTCCAGTAGTCATTGGCGCCCGAGGCGGCGGCATCGATAGTGTGCCGCTTTGCCAATAGAAGCAAATAGGCGAGTTCCAGTAAGCAGTTCCGAAGAAGATGCGGTTGCTTTGACAAGAACACTATTGACCTGATGTCCCGTATTCTCACTCGAACCCATCATCAGAGACTGTCGCAGAAAAGGGTAGTAGAGGCATAAGGGACGCAGTAGTTATAGGGCGCAATGGCTCGGCATCCATGAGCCAACACTTATTATCAGACCTCGCGTTCACCGCTAGGAGTCGTCTTTGATATGATGGCTGTTTGTCGGCCCGCACTCAAATAGCTAATTCCGTGATTTCACCACTACTTTTGATTCTTCGCGTGACAATTACTCGGCAGCTAAGCATATCGAGGCAGAAGGACACTGCCTTTGTTAATTGAATGTGGGCTCGCGGTCCATGCGACTGTCATTTCTTGCGAGAATTTCGGCCTCGTAAAACCTGAAAGTGTGGTCGAATCCCGTCGAATGAGCCTTGATCTGGGAGCTAGCGTCATTTATCTCCACTGGTGCTGCTGCATGCTCGGATATTCCCGTTCGAAATATTCCTGCAGTTTCTCCGACGTAGCTGCTCTGTCCGCAACCGCACCAGATACAGTAAACAATTCCAGACGTTTCCTGCTGTGGCAGTGGGTCATTCGGTCTCATGACCTGGAGCCTGATGGTTGCCTCCGGTCTGTGTGCAACTCCAACTCCTAATGGTATGGAAATGCGACTTGCAACCTTCGAGACATTCTTCACGTAAGTGAGCTCTCGCCAAAATTTGGGACCGAACGGTACAAAGTTGCTTCCACAAACGGTGGCCGAACGAACCTTTGATAGAGTTGTTTCCGAGGCAGCACTGTGGAACACGATGCGAATCCTGCCTGGTCTAACCACATCCAGAAACGACAAAAGGGTGCACAGCTTTTTGTCAGAGGAAGTGACAGAGAAACAAATGCAGATGTTAACGCATGAGACCTTATTTGACCCAGTTGATGACAAACCCGCCATTTCAGTTGGCGCAGCGGAGTCAAACATCAGCCAGACAGACGCGACAGACGAGACGTACAACTGTATCAGATACAAAGTGTTATCTCTTCTCATGGCTTATAGACTGCGCTAAGTGTTTCCTAATGTCAAATGCGATGCACCAAGGGGGATCTAGGCCGACAGAGGCCTCCTTATCGTGCCAACGGACAAGAGGCATTCAGATGCCGTATTGCACGGGACCGACTACTTTCAGAAGCCAGAAGATTGCTAGAAGATCGTCAGGTCTATGTCCCCTGTGAATCCAACATCGTAAAAATGTTGACATGCAAAATCGCTGCGGCATTGTTGGCAGTGAAGAACTCAGGTGCAATATCGCCGATCCACCGACGCAAGGCGAGAGCGTAAGAAACGGTCTTGGCCGGATTATGTGGTCTCCCAAATTTGCACGAAGAGGACGTTCCTCTCTGACCTCCCGTATCGCTCAAAGTCAATTCAACTTAACGGACTGTCGAATTGGCTGTTTTGACGTCTTGATTTTTAACAGCTGATTCAGACGCCACAGTTAACTAGTCAAATGGCCTGATGTCGGCCGGCCGACTGGAAATCAGCATGGATTACGCCGCTGTATAAGGGCGGAAGTCGGGTCTTTGCAAACATTTATAGACCGACCGGCCTCACCTATATTTTTTGCAAAATTATGCAAAAAAATTAAGCAACAATTGATGCAGTCCCTTGAACAAACCATCTTGTTTCTGATTTCCAGCTTGGATTCCGCAAAGACAGGTCCTGTGTGACAAACTTGTTCTACTGTCTGGAACACTGGACTCGGGCTTTTAATAGAGGGAATAGGGTGCATGCGGTCTATATCAGTTTCATCAAGGCCTTCGATAATGTGCTTCACTATCGCCTTCTGTACAAACTCAGTCATATATGGATACGAGACAAGCTTCTGATGTGGATTCGAAGCCTTTTACTCGGCCGCCCTCAAGTAGTCCACGTCAGTGACGAGCAGTCTGCGAGGTTGCCGTTAAGAGTGGTTACCAAGGCTCCGTTTTTGGCCTTACTCTGTTCATTTATATGTCAACGATAAGGCAAACCAACTGGATTGCGATGTCGCAATTTTTTGCTGGTGATATGAAGATCTGGAGTACCATACGAAATGAAATTGGCGAAGTGCGATTGCAGAGAAACCAAGACCACCCAGAGAAATGGTCGAACGATTGGTTTTTGTCATCTAACCTAAACAAGCGTAACCTCCTACGAATCGGCGGAACCAGTTCTCCTAACGGAATGGCCTACCACCTGTCTCGCAAACCTCTGAAAGAAGTCGACGTTCTAAAGGACTTGGGTGTGTGGATCACAACTTTGCTCAAGCCTTCGTTGCAATGCTCAAGGGCAGCCACTTCGGCGATGTCCATGCCATACCTCTTCAAAAGGTCATTCACTTCCGTTGATTTAAAATACTTCACGAAGGTCTTTCGAACCTTTGTGCGGCCTCTTCTAGAGTTTTCTATCTAAGCATGGAGATCCTGGACCGCTAAAGACCTTAACGTATTCGAAAAAGTTAAACGGCGCGCAACCAGACTTGTAACTGGACAGGCGTCGCTACCCTACGAAACACGACTAGCTTATCTTGATCTCTTTCCTTTGAGTTACACGCAACTACCTGGTGACCTAATACAAGCTTTCAGCATCTCGCGTAATCAGGAGAGCTGCCTAATATCAGGAGACTTCTTCGAGTTGGCGACTACGGCTAACCTGGGAGGTCATCCACTCAAACTACATGTGACTGTTTCCCGGCCAGACACAAGGAAGTTCTTCACAAAGTGGTCGCAACTTTGAATGCTTTGCTTGAGGATGTTGTTATGTCTGGATCCGTAGAAACCTTTAAAAGGAAGCTAGATCAACGTTACAGTGCGCGCCTCAATGCCACCCGACCACCGCCGCGTTGATAGCTTGCGCCAACAATTCCATGATATAATGATGCTACTAACGATATATAAGTACCATCAGTTGGTGTAATCGATTATTGTTGGACCACGGCGCACTGCTCTCATTAACCAAGGTGCTTGCAGACTACAGATCTTATTATCTACTATATAAATCACCAAACCAAGCTCATATGCTTTCAAATACTGTTAACGCATGAAATAATGTGTTCATATGTCCGGTTTTTGGTATTCTCCTTGTATCTCTTTCATGTAACTCACTTTCCACTTTTACCCCATACTTCCCCTGCGTGTTACGAATAGGGATTACAAGGATACACACCTACTTTATCTCAAATAAACTGAACTTGACACAAGTCTTCGAGAAATATAAAGGGGTACGTCTCCTGTCTAACGACCTCATGGCATCTTTTCATGTCAGGTCCACTTGTGATTTCACTCAGCAGGATCTGGCAGTCGAAACTGTCCGATTATTCCTACAGCCGACTGGTGTGCACGATAGGTTGGAGTGAATGGAGTCGAATCTCAGCGCATAATTTTAATTCACAAACAATTTCATGCCTTTGAGACTATCAGGTCTCGCTAAAGCCTTGGCTTGGAAGGTTGCCAACTGACACTACGAGTCAGACCACGCAGGCAGTCCAATTGCGTGCTTGTAAGTTGAATGGCTGATTAATAGACTGAGAGTCAAGCTGCGATGAGCCCTTCTTTATGCGGCCTCTACGGCATTCTTTTCCAGTGGGATCCGAGCTACCCGCCTTTCTTGACCTGGTCAGTTTGCGCGGTGGACTAGGGGTGTGTTGGCACGCCTATTTGTGGCTTTCACCGTGTCACTTAACCGCACTCTATCTCACCTTCGTTTTTTTCGGAACTGTCAGGACACGGATCCAAGATGTCAAGAATTAGAGCGTGCAGTATTTCACTTTAGACTATCCTAAGCGTAAGTCACTATCCCTGATGTCACTCGGTTTTGGTGCACATAATGAACATCCCTCTTCTTTTACCCCATCTTTCCTCTTTACACTCAAAAGTCGTACGGCGAGAGTGACAGCGATCACGTCCGCGGCCAAGGCTAACTCAGGTTGTTATCCCACCAAACAATGTCGTGGTCCACTGTGGAGACCGGCAGCTGTATGGGATGGCCAAACAGCCCCATTAAGGGATAGCACTGCTTACCCTCGCGTGGGGGACGGGGCTAGAAAAGGTGCCCTAAACAAATGCTGGGATCACGTCCTCTGCGCGCTGACCGTGGCTCGCAGACCCAAAACACACGATCAAAACAACCAAATCAGAATTAATTATCTCTCTCTCTCTCCCCTCACCATCTGCCTTCCATCCGGTGCCCCTTCCCACAGGTTGGTAAGGTGGGTCCGCTGACTCGAGCAGCCTGGAATGTCCTTTCTCTGTTAGACAACCCGAGGAGCAACCGAGCGGAACGGAGGACGATGCTGGTGGCTCGGGAACTGGCGCGCTACAAGGCGGACATCACTGCACTCAGTGAGACCCGGTTCTCAAAACAAGGCCAACTAAAAGAGGTGAGTGCCAGCTACACCGCCTTCTGGAGCTGTCACCCCAAAACAGAGCGACGACACCGCGGGACGACTGCCCTGTCTGCCGCAGGGCATTAGTGATCGCCTGATGAGCCTCAACCGGCCGCACCTCTTAGGCAAATTCGCCACCGTCGTCACAGTCTATGGTCCCCCGATGACCAGCCTTGACGATCCAAGGAGAAAATTCTTCGAAGACCTGCAAGCCCTCCTGGCAGCAATGCCGAAATCGGACAACTGGATTGTGCTTGGTGACGTCAGCGTCCACGTCGGCAGATATCATGCTGTCAGGAGAGGAGCGCTGGGGCCCCATGGTCTCGACGGCTCCAATGACAATGGCATACATCTAGGAACCTGCGCAGAACACCACCTCACCCTGACGAGCACCTTCTTCCGCCTTCCCACGCAGAGAAGGCCACCTGGATGCATCCTCGGATGCGGCACTAACACCTGTTGGACTAGGTCCTACGTCCGGAGGCGAGACCAGCGCGACGTGCCGTTGACAAAGGCGATCCCGAGTGCCGACGGGTGGACTGACCATCGCCTCAACATCTACAAATGCGGATTCGCCCACAGCCTCGGAGGAGACTTCGAGGTAAGCGACTCACAGGTAAGTTGAATCGTTCTTTGTTGTCTTTGCTGATAGAGGTAAACAGGCGAGGTCCAGGAAGCAGTTCAGAAGAAGAAGCTGTGATTATTGGAACAAAAAGTTTATTGGCCTGACGTTTTGGAATATCACTCGAACCCATCATCAGAGACGGTCGCAGATAAAGGCAGCGGAGGCACTAGGACTACAGTAGTTATAGTACATAGCTGACGTTGGGCCACATGCGTATTATAATTAACAGCGCTGGGGGTCGTCATTAAGGCGATGATGGCTAGCCAGTCCGCGACCGAGTAGTCAATTGCGCAATTTGATCATCCGTGTTGGATGCTGACGTGATGATTACTCAAAAGCGCCTGCGCCCGCGGCCTCCCCACGTGACTGATTCTCCTGTTCAGGGAATGTCTAAGCACTGAATATGGTACGGGGAGGTCATAGCGTTTGTTGATGGATTGCGGGCCTGAGAACCATGATTCTAGCAGCTCGCGGCTCACGCGGTCATCTGCTCCTGCGAGGGTTTTGGCCTCTTGAAACTTAAACATATGGCCGGGTTACGTGGAATGAGCCGCTACCTGAGAGCTGCCGTCTTTCTTCCTCACTGCTGCTGCGCGCTCAGCCATGCGTGTCCGGAGGAATCTTCCAGAGCAGCTACGTCGGAGAACCTGAGACACTCGATCTTGTACAAGTGTCAGTTAGAAGTGGCCCAGACCAATCGATCCTGACTTTCAAAGTCTATGCTAGTTTTATTTTTTGTCCTGCATCCACCCCGTCTTATGTGACACACACTTCAAAACAAAAGAAGGCAAGACTGTTCATTGAGATTGTTTATTTGCTGCACGCATATCATTTACGCCCACAGCATTCCAACGAGGCGGAATACAGCGACCGACGAAAATCCTGAAACAGTGAGAGAGTTTCTTGGTTAAAAACGCAAGATCAAACAAAACAAACGACAATTTTCAGAAAGGTTGCCATCACTGATCGAATTCTGTTTTGGAAGAAAGTACCCATTCAGACAGAATAAGACAAAGTATTATTTGGACGCTACACTCATGATGGTTCGATGCTTGGAAGGGGCTGATGATGCATCTAAATTTAACTTATCTATGATGTACGGAAACACCTTTAATCAGTTCCCTCGAGTACTAATAATTAGTCGAGCTGCACACATTTTCAAGGAAGGGCCACTGAAGTGAACGAATGACCTTACTTCGCCCACAGAATGTGTACTGCTTACCTACTATGAAAATTTTCGGACCTAAAGGACCGCAAATAATGCAAATGTCAAATTAAACTTGCAAATGATTTGCAGCTGCTGACAAACGAACTTCACTGATGCATTATGAAGTTCCGTCTGTGCCACCAGTCGCGCCAAATTATGCTTGCAACCGTAGGAAACCCGAAAGATGAGCTCCTCTAAAACCAGTATTTAAAGTCTCGAGTTAAAATACCAAGGCTCCTTATCGTCTTCATATTCACGGGAATCGTCTAGCTTGTACGAATGCCAGGCGCATTTGCCCCATATAGCTGCATCCAACATGAATCAAATAGTTGATTTCCAAATGAGGGCGTTGAGGACATTACCCAATGGTGCAAGCCACAAGATAACGGATTTGCGCCGAATCACACTTTCTTCAGCGTCTATAGCTTACGAGTGATGCAAACTACATAAATTGCACATTTTAATGCTTCATTAGTCGTTGTGCTCATATGACACACTTATTATGACACGACTTAACCGCGACAATCTGCTCCGACAGGTGGAAGTACGTCCTTAACAATGCATTTTCACATCTCCCATGTAGTGTTTGAGCGTGAGAGAAAGCCTGAGAAGTCACAACCCACTCAGTTGTGACAGGGAGGGGACAAATTCGGAGAAATCCCTGCCTGAGCTTTTATCTAATCACCCTGTTTGAGGCATTAGTCATCAACCAGAGGGAACATTATGCTCACGGTCTGCAAACTGCGAATGTAAACTTACTCCTTGAAGTCGTTCCGCCCGCGTTGCCGCCTGAGGAATCTGACATATAGAAGGGATTGTTCACATGGTTAATCGGTCAAGAAGACCATAATACAACGTTCTGATAATCGGCGCACAGAGATAAAAAGTAATCTGCTTTAGTGTATTTTGAAGTCCACATGTTGCCACGGCATGTCTGATGCAAATATTTGAAGTACTCAGGAAGTTCATCATGCAACGGCTACTTAAGTGAGAACTCAACAGTTGGGATTTGTGTAGTCCTTGCCAAATTCATTTGGCCTAAAATTTTAAAAATAATCCAGTAAGTATCTTCTACATGCATTGTATCCCAGAGGCATGGAATTTAAGTATTGGTAGGCTTGGAAAAATCTGAGGGGCATTGTTACGCCGCATGTGCTATTCAGTGAGCATCCAGACACAGACATACCTTTTCTAATGTAGCAAGGATCTGGACATACATAGTAGGATTCCACTGCCCGAAAACCACAGTTGCCCCGCTATACAGCCGCCTTCGCTGTCCGCATAGCAGACGCATACTCACTTATCGCGTGGTGCTATCCGGTCACATGTGTTTGCACGAAATCAGAGTTCATCTCAATATCAACACCCCATACATACACTTTGCACACACGAAAACGCTGTCACATCCGGCACTACCGATCCCCATACATCAGCAGCCTTACTATCCCCAACTGATCGTACAGTCCCGAAATTATCCTGTCTCCAGCGTACCACAGATGTAGATCGCGCCTCGACCTGGTCAGTCATTTGTGAATCCGTCGCACAGAGGTGTCAGAAGCACCAACATACACGCACCTCACTCACTTCAATTGCCCAGACGGGAATTTGACGGAATGTAGGAAAATAAATAGACAGTCGGCGCCAAAATGGGTAATTTCGAGTACAATTATGAATGTATTGTGACATCCAGCTGCGTGTTCCATGTTATTCCATCACAAAAAGTGCCTGGTCAGCAAAAACCGGGACCAATCCCCTGGCAGACAGCCCCGTTATTCCTTTATTCATTTTCAGCTGGTCTCCTTTTTTCACCGCATCTGGATACAAATGCCGGCCGCCAGAACTTAGCTAGATTTCACGAGTACATACATTAGCGCACGATTCACAGTCTGCAGACAGTTAATTGGGATCCTTCACCACCAGGAATTCCAAACACTAGTCGTTTTGCTAATCTTCATGCAAAGCCAAATATACGGCCCGAAGTTTTACATGGCTCAGAAAAAAGTTTAAGCAAGGCGTACACTTGACTAACACGCCGAGTCACTTGATAACTGTCTCGAAAATAATTCCGTAATAAACAGGGCAACTGACTCAGACCAAATACTGGAAAGGCCGAATATCTTGCGCAGGCGGATCTATGGTAGTCCGGGAATACCAGCTTGTGAATTGAAGTCTTGAAGCATAAAAGCATTAAACCATTGATATAGACACAACGGTTTAAGTAGGTCGCCACCAATTGTGTTCTGATATTAATATAAAAAATGCAGTGAAAACTTACCAATGGGGTTCGGTTTTGCAGTAGTTGTCATCACCGTTGTCGTCTTCAAGTCGGGCACGACGGCTGGAAATACCGAAATGTTTGATATTCAATTAGGTCGCTGCATAGTTCACTACCAGCCTGGAATGTGAGCATGCTGACATTTTCCAGCCTGTCTACACTCAACCACCCGCCTCAAACATACGAACGTCAGTAGCTACTCTATTAACCCTCGTCTACTAAAGCCTCCACATCTAGACCGCCTTTCCCGTGTAGGCCTCTGAAAGACACTTTACGGACGGACAGCATAGAGGCTGTATTGCACCAAACCGGAAATGCTGTCAATGTCTCATACAAAGCTCAGATTTAGAATTCCCGGAATCCCGCAGTGAGAACTAAATGCGCCTAATGTATATAATATTACCTGCTGTCCACATAAAGGTTGGATGGTTCATCTAGGAAGAGAAGAGCTCTCGATGAAATGTCCCAGCGTCTTAACGCCCAACTTGAGGATGATTGCATATTCTGGTGCGTCGCGGTTCGGTGATATGCCAGGCGTGAACTTCCGAGGCCATTATTAGCTTCCACCAGTGCGAGAATACTCTTGACGGCTTGATTATTGATGTGTGATGAAAGGTGTTCAGACAGTCGCTTTTTATATTGGTGACAGATCACGCTGCATCCCCTTGATGTCCCCTTCCATGGTCCGTTTTATCAGACACAGGCGCATGTGTACGATCCTGGTTAGCCAATGGAGGCCAATGTTCTTCAATCCCATTTTGAGAATAGCTTGAGATAAGTGCCCGCGCTTGTATTCCAGTCAGTCTCCTTGTTTGAATCGACATTCGGGTAACAGAATCAATGCGTACTTCTATACAGTCGAAGTAACGCATCTAACCGCGATTGCGGTAAGTGCTCTTCCTTCTCAGAATTGCTACCTTGCGATACGCTGCCAATCACCGACGTGAATTTATTTACTTGATTTAAGATAATGTGCTGTGAGATTTCTAATGTGGCATTTGCCAAATGCAAGATGGCAGACAGAACTGTAGGACACAGTTTTCACTTTCTTATCACCAAACCTATGGCAGGCTGCGGAGCTAGAATGAGTAGAAATGCTGCCTCGTAAGCCGAGGTTAGCGCTGACTGTGTGCACAAGGATCTAACCGTAATATTTAGGTATTTAGTCTCCTTGAGCCTGACACATACTATTTAGGGCAATTTTTTGATCGTCAGATCAGTTCTAATGATTATATCTAGGCATTATAATCCTTCAATCTTCAGTTGCCCGTCCGATTCTTATGTATATATTGAGGTATTCCGCGCAGAGGTCATTGGAGTTCAAACGCACAAATGATGAACATTGGGGCATCTGCTGTAGCAAATGCGACATGCAAGTGAATCACCAGGCCCAAAAATAAGACAAGGCTTCGATTGACTGTGACCGCCAAAAAGGATTGATGAAGGAAATATATGTGGACGGTATTGTTGAGAAAATAACGCAGTAATGATAGAAGTTGAGGAATGCGGAAGAACATGAATTTGGGCTACCAGAAATTGTTGTCAGTCTACTGAATGATAACGCGCACAACACGAGACTAATATGTGGGCATTTTTAATTTCCAGTCAGCATTTCGTGGGTTTGGTCGCCTAGTGTTATTGAAGTCGCACAGCAAATTAACTGCACATATTACATCTGTAAAGATGTTATAGGCGATTTGGAGCATATTAGTGAAATTCGGTCATTAAATTCTCAAATGAGTCTTTACTTACGATCAGGAGTCATATCTAGAATGAGAGTGAAGGAGGCACATAAGTCCAGTTGGGTGACTAGAATACTTATAGATGGATTAAAAAAAGGCTGATAAAGGATGCGCAGAAAATGAGGAGGTAGCACTTATTTATGCAGATGAAACGGATGTCTGATGGGCCCACACATAGTGACCCTGTAGAAACGTGGGTTTCGGCATGCATGCGAGCAAAATTGGCAGTCTGAGGTGGACGTGCTCTAATCGGGGGAGCGTTTTCACAATATGCTAGTATTTAAGCATGGGCAATCTACGTGGGCAGTCTCGTTTACCTAATGTACTGATTAGTGCTAGTATGTGCAAGTCCACAGAAAGCTTGTCGGTTTATGCATAGTATTGTAATGTGGGAAATGCTCATTGTTAAGAATGCAATGCACTGGCTGACGGATAACAGACGAAATGCATGGGCTTAGTCCGCGGGATATTTACATACTAGTTTCAACGTCACGATATTAGACAGTGTTACCGCGTACTTTGGCCGGCAAGTAGGAAAAATCGAGGAGGCATGCGGGTTGGGAATTATTAGGAGAGAACTGCAGCATTAATAAATGAAAGAAAACTTGCAGGAACATGAGTATCTACAACGCGGAATTATCCTCAGTCTCCGAGTCTCCAATAGAAGACGCAAATGCAGTGTCAGAATTGCTGTAATTCTTTGCAGATGAGTTCCTTATTTAATAGTTAGCTGGAAAACAGACTGGAGAGCCGGAATGTCGTTATTTGGCCTAGCTCCATTCTATGGGCATAAAATATCCGGTGTGTTTATACGAGAATAACCCGCAGATTGTCTGAAGTCAGCAATCCCCCTGCAGAAAACACTAGACGCTAAATAATGACTGAGTTATATAAGTTGCAGCACGATCTGAAAACACCTTCTCATTCTGAGAAGACCAGGTTGTGATACATGCAGTCCGTCTGAAGCTGTGTACATATGCGTCAAGTGGTGCGGTCTAATCATTTGCAAACTGCGTTCGGACACATATGTGTGTGAATTGGTTCAGAAAATGAGGATGGAATGTGCATAGATGCCGAATAAATGAAGAAAGGCGCAAAACGTGAAAAGCCCTGCAAGGAGTTCGTAATTAGGAAACTGAAACTCAATTTGTCACTTAACTGTCCTATGCTTTTGTGTGAACTCATTTATTCTCACGCTATGGACTTATATGTATTTTCGTCGCAGGGATGGTAGAGGCTTCTGGTGAAAACTTGCAGAAGGACATTTTCAAAATAAAGCACATTCCCTTTCTCTGTTGTTTTTGATTTTTCAGATGGTCGCGTTTCGTAAGGCTGTCATTCTGTCGTGCGTGAAGTTTCATGGGATTGTGTTGCTAACCGATCAGTACAGCAAAATCGCGTAAGTAATCTTTCCACTTGATCTATCTTTAAGCTGTTTTTTCATGTGTCTCGTTGATTCTTCTTTGTGGTGCGGGGTACTCTGATTTGCCTTGCCTGACTCTCGCATTATATACCCATATAGTATATAAATGTCAATCTGTCTATTTTTTCATAATAAATGTCGGCTTTTTATTGGCTGGAGGGATTTCAATTTTACTATCTTTTTGCATCGCTGACAAATCGCTCAAGAGCAGGAATCAAATAAATAGCACGCACAGTACGTAGACAGAAGTAGCTGCAGGTACTCAATCATAGTTGTGAAATAATGTGGGGAATTCAGCAGTGAGTCATCACTTACATTCATATTTATCATCATCATCATCATCTAAAAGGGGGATTCAAGAGGGCATATACATGCAGTTGATTGATAGGGAAGCATATATGTGATAGGCGAATGCTAATAACATGGAAGAGAGTATACATAGTTCGCAGTTATTTAAGCAGGTATATCCGATGGCAATTGACCCCATATTAATCACGCCCTAGGCAGTGACGCGTACAAAATCAACCTTGAAAACTTCGCAGTGCCTTCCTAGAAATTAGGTAGGCCTTCCGCGGTTACGAGACTGGCGTTTTTATCAGTTGGAACTGCCGCGCCTCCCCAGTGACGATGGTCCAAGAAAATGCACTCCTCGTGTCACCCTTCTAGGTGTAAATATCTGTAAGCATCGGCTATGTCTGGATCAGCAGACCATGACGCTCGCGACCTGGTATGCGCAGGCAGTTCTATAGCACCTCGGCCGCTGCTGCTGGGTACACAGTTCGTGAGCATGGCTGCCCAGTCGTCCTCGGCGTCCTTCAACCTCGCATAGATGATGTCGTTGTTGGTTAGTATCCTAGTCATTTGCTCTGTGGAACAGGGGTGTTGATTAGTGCACCTAGGTGAGGAGTCGGCAGCGTCTTTCACATGCGCTTTCTCTCCGTCCTCTAGTCTTCCCGACTATGTCTTGGCATCGGGTTCAGATGGAGGAGGAGGAGGAGTAGGGGGTACGGTAGATGCTGTGCAAGTCCACTGCCACTGACTCACGTACAATTCTCAGTGCCTGCTTCACCTTGCTGTGGAGCACATGGCGGACATCGTCAGTCACGACGCCGAAATGTCATGTGTGTATGTGTGTTGAGGCAAGCATGGAAGGTCTTTGGAAGGGAAGGATAAATGAGTGCGTTTGGTGGCCCAGTGTTATTGAAGCCGCACAGCTAGCAAACTGCACATATTACAGCTGTGAAGGTGCTATGGGCGTTTTGAGCATACTAGTGAAATTCGGGCATTCAATTCAGGACTGAATCTTTACTTACAATCAGGATTCTCATCTAGAAGGAGGATAAATCAGGCATTTAATTCCAGTTGGGTAAATAGGAGATATGCGGGTTGGGAATTATTAGGAGAGAAATGCAGTATTAATAAAAGTAAGTAAACGTGCATGAACATGAGTATTTACAACGCGGAATTCCCCTCAGTCTCCGCGTCGCCAATAGAAGACGCAAATGCAGTGTCAGAATTGCCGTAATTCTTTGCAGATGAGTTCCTTATTTAATAGTTAGCTGGAAAACAGACTGGAGAGCCGGAATGACATTATTTGGCATAGCTCCACTCTGTGGGCATAAAATATCCAGTGTGTTTAAAAGAATAACGCACAAATTGTCTGAAGTCAGCAATCCCCCTGCAGAAAACACTAGACGCTAAATAATGACTGAGTTATATTGGTTGCAGCACGATCTGAAATCACCTTCTCATTCTGAGAAGACCAGGCTGTGATACATGTAGGCCGTGTGAAGCTGTGTACATATGCGTCATGCGGTACGGTTTAATCATCTGAAAACTGCGTTCGGACACATATGTGTGTGAATTGGTTCAGAAAATGATGATGGAATGGTCACAGATGCCGAATAATTGAATGCCAGTCGGCATTTCGTGTGTTTGGTCGCCTAGTGTTATCGAAGCCGCACGGCGATCAAACTGCACACATTAAAGCTGTGAAGATGCAATAGGTGCTTTGCGCATTCTAGTGAAATTCGGGCGTTAATTTCGGAAATCATTTTTTACTTACAATAGGGATTCTCATCTAGAAGGAGGATGAACGAGGCCTTTAAGTCCAGTTGGGTGAATATAAGTCTTACAGGCGGATTAACAAAGGCTGACTAATCATGCGTAGAAAATGAGGAGTTAACACTTATTTATGCAGCTTAAACGGATGTCTGATGAGCCTACGCATAGTGGTCCTGTAGAAACGTAGGTTTTGGAATGCATTCTAGCAAAATTGGCAGTCTCCGGTGGACGTGCTCTAAGAGGGAAGGGGGCGTTGTCAGCGAGTCCTTTCACAATATAGTAGTATTTTAGCGCCTGAAACGTTTCCCCTCTGTCCAATTGCAAAATATTAAACATCGAATCAATTTAATTGTCATGTCGTGCCGCCAACCATCATTCAGTCTTGTATGGAACGGAGTGCTTTTATGTCTCATGTCTACCAGCATTTCAACAGCATATGGGTAATCCTTTCCGAGGAAGGCGCTCGGGTTTAAATTTCTGACGACGTTTTACCTGTTAATTTGCTTAATAATTATGAAGCTGACTGTGAAACAACATAAGCAATGGTGAATGCAGCGTAAAAATTAATATTTGCTTACAGTCGTTGCTATAGTCTGCAAGGAAAATTCAACAAGCCGATTAGCTCAATGAAGGTGTAAGTGGAGTTAACGATGGCTCAACAGGCGCCGATTATTCGCAAGTAGGCGAGAAGAGTTGGCATCCTCCAATGCATGCTAATGTCCCAACTTGCAACCTTGTGCGTGCAATCAAAACTGTCAATGCCGGGAGACATGCTCAGGGTGGGCATGGTGGCGTTTCCAATAATAAATTGCCGAAGAGACTGCAATTTTCAGTGACTGGCATAGGTAACATTTTTAAAATATAATCATCTTCTTCTAAAACGGGAGCCAAGAAAGCACATACATGCAGTCGATTGATACATAAGCATCTATGGTGTAGGCAAATGCAAACGACATTCGGCATCTATTTAAGCAGACATATTTGTTGACCACTGTCTTCATATTAATCACATCCTAGGCAGTGGCGTGCACAAAATCAAGCCTGAGAACTTTTGGTGCATTGCAAGAATGAAGTGGGCTTCTCATTGATACGGAGCTGTCATTTTGATCGACTGGGATAGCTGCGCCTCTCAAAGTGTGGATGGCCGAATAAAATATACTCCCCGTATCATCCTTCGAGGCGTAAATGTCTGTAAGCATAGGCTATGCCAGGATCAGTAAATCATGGCCTCGCAGCCTGGTATGCGCTGGCAGTTCTATAGCACCTCGGTTCCTGCTGCTGGGTATAAAGGTCGCGAGCATGGTTGCCTAGTCAACCTCGCCGTCCTACAGACCCTCATTGATGTTGCCCTTGTTGGTTAAAATCCTGGACCTTTGCTGTGTGGACCAAGGGTGTTGAGTAGTACACCTGGGTGCCGACTCGGCCGTGTCATCCACCTGCGCGTTCCCTCTCCCCTCTAGTCTTCCCGACTATGTTTTGACATCGGGTCTAGATGGAGGAGGAGGAGGAGGAGGAGGAGGAGGAGGAGGAGTGGAGGTGCGGTAGACGCTGTAGAAATCTAGTGCCACTATAAACTAGCTCACGTATCAGTCACAGTGCCTGCTTCACCATGATGTGGAGCATATGGCGGACATCGTCGGTCATGACGTCAAAATGTCATGTGTCTGAGCGTGTGATGTGTGCAAGAGTGTCCACTTGTGAGTGCACGTGGAGGTCGTAAGAGTGTATAGTGTATTTTAGGGTATAGGCAATGCCCTTGATGACCCTATTGAAAACGGTACATAAAATATAAATGTTAAATGCGCATCTTACTAAAAGTTTGTCAGTGACATATTTGTTCACGGAAAACGTTTTCACAGTGCGGGACTGCGAAGGGTGCGGCAGGCAGTCTTTTCAGTGTACATATGAAATTTTAAGTGCAGTTATATACAATCAGCATAAACTGCAGTCATTTGAATAGTTTGAGGGGGAAAATTCTTTCATTAAAAGTCAGGGATGTGTTAAGTAGGGATGAAATCAAGAAATGAAATTTATGGCTGGTCGCAGATAGTCCTGTAGTGAGAGTCGTCGTTTATCAAAGATCAAACGATCCAGCTGCCTTTCGAATACAGCCATCGTATCAGATGTCACTATTTCATTTGGGAGTGAGTTCCACGGTCGAACAACACGCTGGCTGAAGGAAAACTTCCGATTGTCTAGGCGTGTATGCTCCCGCTTGACTTTGTACGGGTGACCACGCAGGTGACTCGTGGTCGTGAATTCAAAGAAGTCTTCAGTTTTGAGCGAACATACATGCCCGTGGATAATGCGGAACGTCCATAACAGGTCACACCGCATTCGTCTATAGGATAGGAGGAACAAATTTAACTGGATCAGTCTTTCTGGGTATGACAGAGTCCTGAGACCGTCCACCAGTTTTGTGGCCCGTCGTTGCACCTGCCCTATGGCATCACTGTCTGTCTTCATCCAGGGCATCCATGATGGCATTCCGTATTCCAAGTGCGGTCTGACGAACGTGCCAAATATCTGTGAGAAGAGCTCTGGAGGAAAGATTTTGAAGGCACGCCTAATCCGGTGCATGATGCTGGTTGCCTTTTGGACGACTCTTTTGCATTGCTGAGAGGCCGACAAGTTTGAGCATGTCCAGACACCTAGGTCTTTGTGCGTGTCCACTTCTTTTAGTGGAACCCCATTTATGGTGTACTGATGTTTTGGGAAGCGCCTCCGACCAGACTCTAGTCGCAAGACTACACACTTGGATACGTTAACCGCTAGAAGCCACTTGCTGGACCACGCAGCCAGCTTATTAACATCTTGCTGTAGCTTCTGCGCGTCGTCAAAGCAGCTGATTGTTTTCCAGATCTTTATATCATCTGCAAACATGATGCCATCGCATTCAAGGTCTGCAGGACAGTCATTAATATAGATGAGGAAGAGGACAGGATCCAAGACTGAGCCCTGCGGAACGCCGCTTTTTACTGGCACCCATTCGGATGCAGTGGTTCCAACTATCACTTTTTGGAGCCTGCATGACAGAAAACTTTTAATCCACTTAAAAATGTTGCCCTGTATTCCACACTCCCAAATATTCTGTAGGAGTCGTCCATAAGGAACGCTGTCAAACGCCTTCTTAAAGTCAAAGAAGATGACGTCCACTGGACGGCCCTGGTCTATGGCTCTTGTTCACTTTTCCTGAGAGTAAAGACTGCTTGTAAGGTAGGAGTGACCACGACGAAATCCGTGCTGAGCAGCACAGAACAGGTCCCTCTGCTCCAGATACGACATTAAATGCCCTTTAACAAGTCGTTCCATTACCTTGCATAGAATGCAGGTTAAACATATAGGACGGTAATTTTCGGGCTCCAGCCTGGATCCTCCTTTATAGATTGGAGAAATATGGGCCGTTTTCCGTTCCTCAGGCAGTTCGCTTTCCTCCATGGACTTCCGAAATATCATTGACACCGGCTCACAGAGTACATCAGCTAATTCTCGGAGGACAAGTGGATGAATTCTATCTGGACCAGGTGATTTGGCAGGTTTCAGCCGGCGTAGTTCGGTCCTTATCAACGTGGGTGAGAAGAAAAGATTGTTTTCCAATGCAGGACAGGAAGGATTTGTCGGTGGTCTACGTAAGGCATGGCAGGAGGATTTGTGTCATGAGTGAATACCGACTAAAGGAAATTGGAGAAGGCTGATGCTTTCAGGTGGTCAGCTGTCTCAATTACTCCATTTTGGGATCTTAGCGCTGGAATCGGGTCGCGATTGCTCCGTCCATTACGTATGTAACTATAGAGTATTTTAGGATGCTTCAAGGAATTTTGTAATATTCACAGCTCATAGTTGCTTCGAAGTCTATTAGCCTCGCGTTTACACACGTTCCGCTGTCGCTTGTATTCCTTCAGGTGTTCAGGACTCTCTGTTTGTCGATAGCCTCTCCACACTTTATTTCGCCTCTTAAACGCGGTTTGCAGTTCCCGGTTTATCCACGGCGGACGGTTGCTTGTTTTCTTCCGTCTGAGTGGACAGTTTAGATTAACGATTCTTTTGACCAGTGAGCTGAACGTGCTCCAATAGTCATTAACTGTTCCCTGCAATGTGGTTGTCCACGGTATTGCTGAGACTTGCGTTCGCATGCTAGGAAAATCTCCCTTCCAGATATTTGTTTGTAATTGTTTAGGTGAATTAGGTTAGGAGAACATGGAATACTCGAAGTGCATCACAATATGATCACTAGCACTAATTGGCGGGAGATCTTGTATATCCAGCACACTCTCCTCATCTCAAGTGAGCACCAGGTCGAGGCAATTTGAACGTTGCCCTTCCCTAACGCTTGTTCCGAGAGTTACATTCTGGAAAAGTAGTTTTTCTGCTGCCAATTCAAGCAAATGTTGTCCGAATATGTTCGATGGACCCGAAACCGTCCAAGCTTGTCAGTCGATATTGGGGGCGTTAAAGTCCCCGACAATAAAGACGTCTCTGTTCGAGCAGGTCTTGTTCAATTCTCTTAGCAGAGGGGTATCGTGTTCGGTAATCTGGTTTGGGAGACGATATACAACTGCAAACGCCAGCGGCCTGGCATATTTAGTGGAGATAGTTAAAGATAAGAATTCCACTTTCGCTGTTGTTGTTGGATTATGCTCAGGGACCGCGGTTAGGTTTTAGCTAACATAGACAGCGACCCCTCCTCCTTGGCTTTTCCTGTCTCTTCTGAACAGTTGGTAGCCTCTGAGGGATACCTCATGATCTCCAATAACTTCTGAAAGCCATGTTTCTGTCAAGGCGATGATATCTGGCGTGTGCTCGTCGATCAGAGTCCTGAGTTCATCAATCTTGTTAAACAGGCTCTGCACATTCGAATACAGCATCTTTAGTGTCCGTCTTCTCGGGGGGAAATGGCCCTGATTACAAAGGGGGTTAGCCACAGGAACGATCGTTTGATCTGAATTATCTTGCCTTCCTTTATTTTCAACCCCTTCTCCCCCTCTTCTGTCCTTCTTTTCAGTTCTGTCCAGAGCTCCCTCATCTTGTATCTTTCTGTCGGTTCATAATAGGTCGTTCACTTGCTTGATGGTGTTGACTACGCCTAACCTCCATTAAATGACACTCAACTATAACGTGTGGGTCCTTGAAGCCAGGCTCTGCCTAGCTGCCAAACCCCGTTTACCGTCTTAACCGGCGGGCTAAACCAGACGAGGGTATCCTTCGGACCTCTCCCTTACCCTAATCCTCTGACCCTCACCCTCTTTACTCCCTCTCTCTCCCCCAACGGTCAAAAGTCCTACGGGAAGAACAACATGCAATCACGTAGGCGACCCCGGCCTGGAGGCTTCCTGTCGGGCGCCAAACATGAAAGTGTCTAGCAGTCGAGGTGTGCACAGAACGCGTGAAGTGCACGCACAGATGCCGATCAGGCAACTGTGGGTTGCAGAGGACCGTTGAGGCAAGTATGCAAGGGCTTTGGAAGGGAAGGATGAATGAGTGCGATCCAGTGTGACATCACAAGCTGTCCAGGTGTGAGCAATCTCATCTCAACTGGCGAGCCATATCCCGCCGTGTGAGTTGGCGTGCAGAGGCCAGCTGTCTATGCAGCGGAACATGCACACTGGGCATGTGTTGGAGATGTGGGTATTTAATGGGGATAAGCTGCCCGAAAGTACATAGTTCATTGGCAGAGGAGATTTGTCTGCAGATGGCAGGTTTTAGTGGATCTCGAATACGGTCTACCATAATGAACCCGAATTCTTGTCGCCCTTCCATGGAATGAGTAAAAAGAAGACATTAGCATACACATGACCGTCGCATGCAACAACAATTTTGGCCTTCCTACGATGTTCTAAAAGGGCTCTAAATAAGTCATCACTCATCAGGCATGTCAAAACCTAAAATATAAATACCGAGGTATATAGGCGAGATTGCCCAGCGGGTACACATTGCTATTATTTATAATTTGCTGATTGCACCCAGATAGTTAATGCAGAGGTTGCTTTCATCTATGCATATTAAAAATTTACTTCGCACACTGCAGTCTCATGGACTAAAGTCCAAATTAACAGAAAGCGCGTGCTGGGAATGCTTTTGCGTTCTCAGTAATAAGCACCACTTTATGTCGGTATTTTTAGCGGATGCTACAGTTGTCACTTCTTAAGTTACGAAATGTTTAACAGCAAGCACTGCGTGTCCGTTTACCGGTTTAGACAAATATCCACACTAGTCGTCTGCGATGAGTCATTTGTGATGCATTAGGCTAGCTTACTCGGAGTGCAAATGCTCAGAACAGTGAATAATACGCAACACATGAAGTGTGACAATTGTGAACACCATGGGTTCCTCGGCCGTGTCGCGTGACCGGCAAATACTACCCACACAATGTATGCAGAGTGTGTTATGGTGAAGAATTAGTTCCTACGGTAACTCATTCCCAAACAGTTGATATTCTTGGGGAATATATGGCCAACGGGATTTTGCGATTACAAAATCAACTTGAGCAGTATTCCACGGAGAATGCATAATCGAATGTGAACATATTTACCCGACAAATACAATCACAACATAGATTAGTACATGAGTGTTTTA